AGTTTGCTATCACTAAGCCCAGTTTGTGAAACATCAAGACATGTCCCCCGATTCCTTTGCACAGGTTCATTTCCTCAAGTGCATCAGGTTTTCTTTAAAGGGTACTTTTTTGCGGTGCATTAATATTCAGCGTATGCCAAACATTTATAAGAAAAACTAGCCAATTGCCCTCAAGAATGATGGAGGTGGGATGGAGTGCCACCACCTAAAGCTCCATGCTGCTGGTGTTCTGCCTCTTGCAGGGAGTGGGTCAGGGAGCCGAGGCCAGCACTGCTGGCCTCAGCTCCCCCATCCCCTGTCCGGTCCTCGGCGCGGCTTGCCGGGACCAGGGTGGGGGACCCCCTCCCTCCCCACCCTCTGTCCTGTCCTTGGTGGAGCCTCCCCTCTGTCTGGTTCTCCCTCTGCCATCCGGTCCTCAGAGTGGCTTCAGAAACGTGGTGGTGCTCCCCCAAGCTTGGAGTGCTCTGATTGGCTGTTTCTGTCAGCCAATCAGAGTGTGAATAAAGTGTTACGGACAGACAGACAGACAGACTTAGGCTTTTATAATATTAGAATAATCATTTATAATGTATGCTACTGGGAAGGTAAGCATTGTATGCTGGGCACTGATACTGCTTTCTGTTAGGAACCTCTGGGTGGCTTGGTCTTAATTATTTTCATTTATAGACTGAAAAACGCATTACCAGGGAGGACAAGTCTCATTTCTATTTTACCACTTGAGCTACCTGATGTGCAGAGAGGTGAAGTGATTTTCCTTAGGTCACCAGATAGAAGAATGACAGAGCCAAGACTAGAAAGAACCCAACTCCTGATTTGAAGTCCAGTGTGCTGTCTATGGTCAGAATCACACTGGGAGATCTGGGAGCAGGAGATGGCTTAAAATGTTGGCTTTAGTTTAAAATTAGAATGGTAACAACATAAAGTTTCTTGCTCGCACATCCTATGCTAGGATTTTGCTTCTCAGGCTGATTTCTATTGTTGCCCACTGGGTCACATGCTGAGCTTACTTAACACGTTGGCATACCTCTATTGTTTTGCCTCAGTGGCCTATACGACATGGTATTGTTGAAGATTGGGACCTCATGGAAAGATTCATGGAGCAAGTAATTTTTAAATATCTTCGAGCTGAACCCGAGGATCACTACTTCTTAATGGTGAGTAATGGGGCTGCATAAGAAAATATTTCCACAAATGAAAGACTGGATAATATTCCAAACACAAGCAGACTTTGTTATAACATATAAAGCCTAGAAACTGTTTTTTCCTCTCCAGCTTTTTTCATTTCTTTTTATTGTGGTTGAAACAATACATAAAATTTCATTAAAGGGAGGTTCCAATAAATTTCTGAAGCAGGCTTCTTGGCTTCTGACTTTATTTTTTAAAAGCTTAGGCATCTTGATTGAATTACAGATGCTGCTTAAAATAATTGACTGATTTTACTCAAACAAAATAAAATGTTCAGTAAAATAAGGGAAAATGTCACTTAGCAATGTGCTGTATGTTAGCAATTGCACAGTTGTGTGAACAGCTTTTATTGAAGATGATTTCAGTTACCTAATGCAAAATGTTTGTTTTTAAGCAGTAGTTTTTCATAAGGGTAGATGAATATATAATTGATTTAATAAGGGAGCTCTATTAAGTAGTTAAGGTCTCAAATTGGATTTACCTTGAAACGTGCCAACACTGAACTTTAAGTTATTCAAATGGTTTGGCTGGAAGAGTGGTTGTAAAAATTGTGATGCTAATGTAGTTTATTATAGTATATAACTATATGTAATCAGATACATGGACTTCTGCAAAATAATTTGATTATAGTTTACTTTAAAGGAACCCTATAATACTTTTGGTACTATGTTTGTTGGCAGTCCATCCATTTCCAGGTGGGAACAGATGGGACATGAAGAATTCTTAGAGGCTAAGTTTACCTCCTGAATATCATGTAGACTATGATTTAGACTCTTAGACCTTGGTTCTGCAAATGCATACATTGTGCTTAACTTTATTCATCTGAGTGGTTTGGTTGAAATTAATAAGGAACTCCACAAGTATATGTAAATTTACTCTCAACAAGTTACTTTGTCCTGGTTTCCCTAGGAATCTAAACTATGCCACGATCTAAACTGCATAACTTAAATAGATTCTGCCTCAGGCATTTTTGAATGTCTGTACTTAGCCTGTGAGTATTTGTAGGTCAGTCATGCTGTCCATTATGGGCACAACACGATAATATTACTCATATGTATAAAACCAAGCTTTTCCAGCTAATCAGTAATTTTTAATTAAATTTAAAGCAATTTTACCATGTTGTGGGTGGTCAGGGTTGTCTGCCATAGATTATACAGCTCTTGTCTATGTACCTGAGACTCCTTTGGGGTGTTCTGAGTGAATTGATAAACTGAAAAATTCATTTACTGTTGTATTGAGCCAAGTTTGATAAAAGCGCATACTGTGGAAGTTGGTTAATAAAGTGGCTTTTCTTTACAGACAGAACCTCCATTGAACACTCCAGAAAACAGAGAGTATCTTGCAGAAATCATGTTTGAATCTTTTAATGTACCAGGACTTTACATTGCTGTTCAGGTGAACAAAGTGAATCTATCCTTCTAAAGTACAGTATAGCTGCAGTATGTAAGCACACGCCTAAAATGTTTGAAGCAGTATTTTTTAAAGATTAAAGTTTAGTTTGTCTTACCCATATCTAAATATTAACTGTTTCTTATATAGGCAGTATTAGCCTTAGCTGCGTCTTGGACATCACGGCAGGTTGGAGAACGTACGTTAACAGGAACTGTCATTGACAGTGGCGATGGAGTAACCCACGTAATTCCTGTGGTATGTAGTAGAACTGTTTGCACAAGTGTGAGAATTTCTTCAGGCTTGAATTCAAAGATGATTTTTTTTGGGGTTTTTTTTTCTGGACTGAGTGCCTCTTAACTGTCACCAAGGGAAGGAGTCATGGAAAAGGAAAATTAAGTTTGTTAAAGTGACACTGTCAGCCTAATTTAGGACCAAAATTTAGCTAATGCCAATAGAAATTTCTGCAGCAACGAGACTATAAATACAAAAAATATTTAAAGAATTTTTAACTTTTATAGTGGTGAGTGTATACAGAAAAAGGGAGCTTTTCTAATGAGTCTAGACAAGGTGTTAATTATGTCATGGAAAAAAAGGTTGCAGTTGAATTAAATAAACATGATTATAACTCTCCTTTTCCCTGAGATCAATGTTTTCTATTCCATTCTAATGTTTCCAGTATAATTTTTGTGACCCTGTATACATTTATATATTTTTCAGAAAATGAAGTGGATTTTTTTTCTATTTTGCAAAATAAGGTAAAATTTCAGTACCTCTTGAATAGATTTTTTTTTTTAGGGGAGTCCATATTATTGAAGGCCCTGAAGAAGGAGCCCCTATACTTTATACCAGATTCATATGTTTGTGTAATTCCTGGTCGTACATCCTGGCACATCCCAAATTTTTTCTCTATTTAAATGGCTGAATATTCGTTACTGGTGCCCAAAAATTGGAAGGCTAGGCAGTACTTTTGGATTTTCCTTCATGCATGAGAAGCGACTCCATATTTGCCATCATGTCTATCATGATTTTGTATATTTTAAGATCCATTTACAAATTGTGTTTTTGGTTGTTTATTTGCTTTATAAGTATAGAGATGTTACTTTCTATTGCAGTTTGGAGTATTTTATATATGGGTGATACAACGGCAAATTTATATAAATAAATAATCATTTAAATAGTCTATTTGAAATGGATTTAAGCCTCTTGGGGTATGAAAATGTAATAGTTATTTTATTCCCTCTAACTTCTGTTCAAATTATGGCATCCCATATATTTGCCTAGCACATAATGCCCCAGCGGGCTCCTTTAAAATGTATCACAGTCTGGTAATTACATGTCCTTGCAGTGTTTGTTTCAACTGGCAAAAACTGGAAGTAGTGAAGAAAGTTTCGCATGTAGAGTAATAAATATGTAACTGTAGTAGTCATTGTTGCGTTTAACATAACTGTCCATGGTGTCTCCTTTATTCTTGTCTCCAGTTTTCCGCTGGTCTTTAAATTAATTCTGAAAAAGGAGGGGGTGAAAAGGAAAGACATTGCTTTTTTATACTGTGTTTAATGTCCAATTTCCCTTCCCTTTTTTAATATCGTATTTTGTTTTTGTGTTTTTGTCAACTTTTTCTTTCCATTTTTAAGTGTCTCGTAGGACTAACGCTTGTCCTCTTCCTGAGTATATTTTACCATTGCCGACCATTTCTGATGAAACCTCTTCACTGGGGGCCTTCTTTGACTTTAACATGCACCTTCACCTAAGATCATCCTTTTATTTATCATTTAGTGTATTAGATAAGAAATGTCACATTTGCACATGGTTATCAGTCTGATAAACACAAGTAGCATCTAGCATATAATGGCTTTACAAATTTGTACTGTGGATTTGAAGGGGATCACTTGAAGGAGTCAGCATCTAAGATTCTTTTTTTTGTTAATTAAAATTTTAAATTAAGAAGCTGCTTGGTAAAAACTAAAGTTTTGACTCCACTGATAACTATCAATACTTCATACACCATTTTTTTTTTCTAAGTATCTTTTTTTCCATAGGCAGAAGGTTATGTAATTGGAAGTTGCATCAAACATATCCCTATTGCAGGTAGAGATATTACATATTTCATTCAGCAGCTCCTAAGGGAGAGGGAGGTGGGAATTCCTCCTGAACAATCCCTGGAGACAGCAAAAGCCATAAAGGTAAAATCTTTTTAAAAATTTGCTTTATAAAGAGAATGATTTTTTGCTTTAAAAAGTTGCCAGTGACCGCTTAAAAATGCAGACTTAAGAATTATCTAGTTAACTTTGTTTTCCGTTCATTTATTGATTTTTTTTTTTTTTTTTTTTAAAGGGGGGGGGG